GCCTTTATTGTTATCAATTTTTCCTAAGTAAAGTAAACAAACAAACTCTTTTCTTGGATCTCGGCCACCACCATGTACGGCTCAGGATTTTTCATCGTTTTTATTTTAAATTTTAATTGTTTCCGACTGAAAATGACTCAGTTTTGAGTCGAAACGTCTCGGTTTTATGTATTGTGTATTTTAGTCTTGTTTCCCGTTTTTCCCCCACTGTTTTTCCACAGTATCAAATGGAATATATCTGTTCACTGTGTTGAGCAATCAGATGCTGAAATTTATACTTTCCTAAATTTTTTATCACTTAAGTCTGAGTATGGAATCCTGCAGCTTTAACAAGGTTAAGTTTGAGGCATTCTTCATTTGGACCTGTGAATTTATCAACTTCACATATCACCTCAGAAGTCGGGTATGTTACCTACTTATGTTTTCAGTGGAAACTTCTGGTCCAGAATCAAGTGAGTTGTCTAGTTTACTTACCATAGGATAGGCTTATGTTACTTGAGTTTTACATCTACCATGCGTTTACATACCTACTGATGTAGTGGTGATTTTAATTGCATCACATCAAATGTGAGGTAATCCAAAGTATATGCTTGGCCTACAGTCAGCTTATGGAACTTAAATATTGGAATAAGGAGAGGCTCATCCATTTCAAAATGGGCTCACTAAGTGATCAAAAGTCTGCTTTGCTGTCTACTCAGTATGTGTTCGTGGAATCCACGAACACCTTAAATCTACTTTAGGTGTTCGTGGAGTCCACGAACCAAGTTTTCATAAATTACTCAAAGCTGTGCTTACGCATGACTTATGATAAGAACTTGCAACTTTTGAAGAAACCTTTAGACTTTTAAATTTGAACTTTTAAAAACTTGGAACTTGTACAAGCTTATGCACGGTGCCAAATTTACTCAGTTATTTGTAATTAAATTTGTGTTCGTGGAGTCCACGAACGTGGATAGTTTGAACACACTAATTTAAGATTTTTGTTCGTGGTGTCCATGAACTGTGGACAGGATGAAGCGTTACCCCATTCCGGTTTTTGTCGGAGGAAACTTGGCAACGTCTGAGGGCTCATACGACGTTCTTCCTTAGCACGGACGATAGGCATTGCGTAACAAGTGTATCCGAATCCGAACTCTTGAACCTCCGGGCGACGCCTCTGTTTACAGCGCCTCTTTGGTCCTTCGGTCGAGCGACAGGCCCGTCGCAATCCGTCTTAACCTCTCCTCCGTCTTCCCCCTTTCCACAGGGCCGCAACTCCCTCCCGGTCCCCGCGTTGGGAATCCCTGCGGAATGCGAGGGAATCTCTGGACGCGCCGACACGGCCGGGTCTTATTTTAGAAGCGGAGGAATGCAAGGAGCCGTCCCCCCCTCCCCCTCCCCCTCGGCCGCCGCCGGTGCCAAAGTCGCGCGCGAAAATGATCTGCACTGCCCGGCGAGGAGACCGGGGAGACAAGGAGAGCGGTGGTCGTATAAGTGAAAGGACGACGGCGGCCGACGAAAATTGGAGCCGGAAATTTGAGTTTCTCTTTCGACGGGGCCGTCAAAATTTGGCCGGAGAAGTGGCGAGCCGTTCGCATGCCGCGGCCGCTCGGATCTTTTACTCGGGAGTCCGGGCTTCAAGCTCCTGTGGGCCGATTATTGAAATTGATAGACAAAGCTATAGACAAAGATGACAAATAGGATATGGAAGGAACCTATGGGTGGAAGCTGGTGGTTGCAATGGACACAGGAGGCAGGTAATAGACTAATTAACGGCAATCCACGAGGAGCCCGACAGTTAGTCCATCATTTTCTCCCTTAGTCTATGAGAACCACACATTTCAACCAACAGGATCGTTCCATACCCCTTTCGTCTTCTTTGTCTATAGCTTTGTCTATCGGTTTCAATAATTAGCCCGCTGGCGCACGCTTCTGCATCCTCCAGTTGGGCCACGTCCTCCCATTCCATGTCCGTCAAAAGTTCCAGGATTCCCAACTTTTTTGTTCCAATGTCTCCCACTCCATGACCGTCTAGAGTTCGGGATGCTTTTCAGGTTTTTTCAAAAGTTCCGGGAGAGTTCCCGAAAATGCCGAAGCTCCGAGACGTTTCGGGAATTTCAAAAGCTCCGGGAAAATTTAAGGGAAATTTCAGATGTTCCGACAGTTGGTACTAGTTTCGGGAAATGAGAGCACTGGGTGGGCCGTTCACCGCGCGGACACCCTGCGTAGCAGTATTTTGCGACTGAATCGAGTTAAAAAATATATCTATTTATATATAAGAAAAAGTAATGACCACAATCATCGTATTATTCAGCAGCCGGCCGATTATTGAAATTGATAGACAAAACTATGGACAAAGGAGACAAAAGGGATATGGAGGGTTCCCGTTGGTTGAAACTGGTGGTCTTTACAGACAAGAGGTAAAAGATAGACTAACTGTCGGGATTCATTTATCTCTTAGTCTGTAAAGGCCACTAGTTTCAACCAATGGGATCGCTCCATACTCCCTATCCAACTCTCAGAACAAAACAAAAAAAGAACGTCCTTAAACTCAAAACGACTTTCGTTTTCATTTAGAGAAAAGTTGTTTCGCCATTTTTCCAGTGTGGACGTGCGGTCATTTCAAACAAAAGGTCATCATCGTGCCCGTAAAAAGCTTTTGCCCATCACATGACGGTCACTGTCAGTGTGCAGGTCAAGTCATGTCACGTACGCTGAGAACGCCATGCAAATTTCTTTCCAAACAAGCCAATTGCCATTAGTACATACAATAATTAGAGAATATTCTGAGAATCTCGACGCAAGTTCTATTATCATACTTTGTCATCGAATTACAGTTAACGACTATAGGCTTCCGACTTATGGCTCCACAGATTGTGGCCGACAAATCACGTACAGGCTAAATTATATTACGTGATGTCACAATATTCCTTGCGACATCTCCAAATCCATCGATATACTTACAGCTTTTTGAATCTCTTTCTCCTTCATTGCTCTCCTTTCTTTCCCCATGTTTCTTTCTAATACTTTTTTTTTCTCAACTTCCAGATTCTAGAGAATATTGTCATCACACAATCTAAAATTTCGCTGAAGTCATATTGGACACAATTCGTAAGGTCATCTGGGACCGTTCAAATGTTATGTAAGGCACTTAAGGGGGGGGGCAGGGAGTCAAAGCTAGCCTCACCGGGTTTGAGAGGGGGTCCAGGGGTCCTGTTCATACATAAGCCTACCGATTTGAGAAAAAATTAAGATATTTTTCAGCGCTTTTTTTATAATCGGGAGAAGGGGGGGGGGAGAAAGAGGGGGTCAGTAGAAGCTCACGTAGGGCAGGAGGTGAGGATTTTTTTCCGAGTACGATGGGCTTTTGAGGGTGGATCCCTTACCTTGAGCATGCGGTCGAACATATACTTTCCGCAACCCATCCTCTGCTTGGACTCGTGAACGTAGAAATCCAGGATGCACATTGCTTTTTTCTCGTGGAGTTTTCCCGTTCGATCCACCAGGAACAGGTTCTTCTCGCCTATCTTCAGCAGACCCACCACCAACCCGCGCCCGCTGCAACAGAGCCACAATAGAAAACCTCCTTAGAAATGGAAACAAATTATAGGAATATACACCATTATACTCGGAGTGAGTACCGATTTGACTACACTAGGACTAGGGGTTATCGCCTCCAGCAGGCCGATTATTGAAACTGATAGACAAAGCTATAGACAAAGAAGACAAAAGAGATACGGAGGGATCCTATTGGTGGAAGCGGGTGGTTGCAATGGACATAGGAGGTGGGTAATAGACTAACTAACTAACCGCAACCCACGAGAGACCCGATAGTAGTTAGTCCATCATGTCCTCCCTTCTCTAAGAACCACCCATTCCACCCAATAGGATCGCTCCATACTCTCTATGTCTTCTTTGTCTATCGCTTGGTCTGTCAATTTCAACAGTCAGTCCGCTGGCTGCTACGCGCAGTCAAACCACCGGAGTGCAAAGTGCTTCGGGACCGTTTTTGGGGCCCCTTTAAGTTAAGGTACATATATAAAGCGGGCTTAACTCGTAGGGACTATCCTCTATCAATAGCTGCAAGAAAGGAGGACTATGTCCCCTGATCGCTCCGCGATCCAAACACCCCTTCCCCCCTCCCTCGGTAACACTTTAAGCCGCAGGCAATATGCGACGCACCGGATAATTTTTTATAATAGACTAAGATTACAGGATAAGATAAAAGAGCTTTCGAAGCACGAAATAGTAATCGCAATATTGTTCGAGTTAACTCTTGGTAATTCAAAATAAAGAGATCAAGACGAGAAATTCAAGCTTTTCTACTTGAGCTCACACGATGCGTAACCGGTCGGATTAACCTGTTAATGGAGCCGGTTCAAGTTTAATATTTCAAAGCTGATTTCTGGGAGCAGGAGCAGTGTCGGCGCTAGTACTGAAATAAACTATACATATCATATTTGATCACGTCAGCCGCGTAAATCCGTCTAAAATTGAATTTGCGGACGGAAAAGAAAGTGCTGGATGTCCTGATTCGGGATTAATACGTTCCAGTGGCAATAATGAAAATAAAATAATTTCTCTAGAACTGAGATTGATGGAGTTTACTGGATGGATGAATTGGATGTATTTCTATCAAACAGCACTATGTGCAGGTGGGAAAGATGGGGTGTGCTCGTTACTGCTTGGGCCATAAGAATGGATGGGAATGATAAAGCGCCAGTGACGTAGCCGCCGCTTCAGTAGCCATTCGTCGTCTTTAACTCATGAGCCCTGTGCACAACGCTCTTGACACATGTCAACGGCTCATGAGTCTGTGTGCCAACTGAATGTTGGCACACAGTTCCGTTTGCTGAATTGGAAAAGCGGGATTTTATATTCTGTCAAACGGAACTATGTGCACAATCCATGAGCCGTGGGCGTGTGTCAAGAGCGTTGTGCACAGGGCTCATGAGTTGAAGACGACGAATGGCTACTGAAGCGACGGTTACGTCACTGGCGCTTTATCATTCCCATTCATTCTTCCGGCCCAGGCACTAACGAGCACATGCGCACATGCTCTTTCCCACCTGCATATAGTTCTGTTTGCTAGAAATACGTCCAACTGAACTGACGAAAAAGATAGAAAAGTAGAAAAAGATGAACAAAAGGGAAGTGACATGAATTGTAAAGAAAGGAGGAGAAGATTATGAGAAAGAAGGAGCAAAATGAGGGGAGCGAGAGAGAGAATGGAGATTGACAAAAATGAGAAGGCGAAACAGCGGAAGACAATTTTCCGACTCCGCCGGGATTGTTCGGTACAAATTGACGAAAGTTACTCGATATTTCTGCTGTTTCCCTCAGTTTCTCGAGCGTTGAACCTCCTTACTCCTCAAGGATTTAACTGATGAAATTGAGAAAAAAATCTCTCATTTCTTATCGCGTGTTTTTCCACAAGTTTGACGACAATCGCCCGGTTTTCCTTTATTTTCGTTGACAAAATTGAAAAAAAATTCCTCGAGCCTTGTCGGTCATCCTTGACTGAATTGAAAGAATTTTCTGATTGTTGAACCTTTTTTCTTCTTCTGGGTATTCGTTTTTCACTCATAAAATTGACGGAAATTCACCGATTTCCTTCGCTTGTCGCTGGCAAAATCGACAAAACATTCCTCGAGTCTTGCCGGTCATCCCCGACTGAATTGACCTGATTAATGAAACCCTTTTTTTCTTCTCTTTTCTCAGTTTTTCCTCACAAAATTCATCATAGCTGACGGAAATCTGCCGATTTCCCTCGATTTTCGCGAACAAAATCGGCAAGCAATTCATCGAATCCTGCCGGACGCCCCTGACTAATTTGAAGATATACACTGTTGAAGCCCCGCCCGTTTTCTTCTGTATCCCCGCTTATCGGCATTCAATTTACGAAGAATTTCACAATTAAACGTATTTCCATCAAAAAGAACTATGTGGAGAGGGACAGGGCCGGATTTACCTACTTGCCGCCCATGGACCGCCTGTATTTTGCAGCCCCCTTCTCATTCGTTTTGAAACACCAATAAAAATCATCAAGTGAACGTGCCAGCGGGGGTGGGGTGCATAAGACGCGTTTACTCGTGTTGGAAACATTTTTCGGGAAAGCCCTGTCAACACTACCAGCAAAAATTCACCGAACATTGCGCGAACGTTAAGTTTCGTAAACCTATCTCTGCGTGGACAAGGCCTTCCATTCATGAGAAATGAAAGAAAAAATTATGAAAGAACAAACATAAATGTGGTTTAATGATTTTAACTCGCGTCGCCGCGCCGCGCAGACCGCACCGTGTTTGGAGTAATGCGTGAAGTATTCCGACAGTTTTGTAGGCGCTATGAGTTTCACGCCGACGACCGTTGCTGAACGCACTGTGTTTGGCGCAATGCGTGAAGTATTCACGCAGTCTTGTCGGCGCTATGCGTTTCACGCTGACCGCACTGGCGCAATGCGTGAAGTATTCATGCATTCTTGTAGGCGCTGTCCGTTTCACACTAAGCGGAATGACTGCACTGTGTTTGATGCAATGCGTAAAGTATTCGTGCAGTCTTGTAGGAATGTAGGCGCTAATATGTGTTACATGCCGACCGTCGCGCCGAGGGCTTCTCCTTTTCATCTCAAGTCCACGTCATCATTTTCTCTCAGTCGCGCCAAAGTCAGCCGTTCCTGGCCAAATTGCGTGTTTGGTCTCTCTCTTAACTCAATTAATTTAAGGTGCTGTCTCTTGTATCACCGAAAGACGACAAAATTAGAAATGACTATACTCTCAGGAAATGTGAGATTTTGTTTGTAATTTTTTTCCTAAATCCGATTTTTTTATATCTACATTTAAAAAAATTGCAAAATTTGCCGCCTCTAGGATTTGCCGCTATGGGCCGCGGCCCATGTGGCCACCCCATTAATCCGGCCCTGGAGAGGGAAAGATGGTGTGTGCTCTTTAATGGTCGGGCCATAAGAATGAATGGGAAATAAAAGGCGCCAATGACGTCAGCGGCAACGACGAGAGAAACGACGATCGGGAAGGCGGTCTTCAACTCATGAGCCCTGTCCACAAGGCTCTAGATACATGCCTATGGCTCATACACTCTGCACATAGTTCCGTTTGACAGAACGTGAGATCCCGCTTCTTCAATTCAGCAAACGGAACTGTGAGCCAACTAAGTGCACCCATGGGCCGTGGACATGTATCTAGAGCCCTGTGGACAGGGCTCATGATGAGTTAAAAACCGCCCCGCCCGTCGTTTCTCTCGTCGTTGCCGCTGACGTCACTGGCGCTATGTATTTCCCATTCATTCTTATGGCCCGAGAACGAACGAGCGCACCCCATCTTTCCCTCTCCACATAGTTCTGTTTGACAGAAATACGTCCAGTTTTATAACAATTCTTGCCGGTTGGCCGAAAATATCCCCTGATGGCCTCCGGGCGTCCCTGATACTTGCTCTTCTGCATTTCTTCTGAAAATCGTGAATGGGAATGGAGAGGAGGGAGGAATGCTAGGATGGGGAGGGGGGGGGTCCTTCATTCCACGGCTCATCCACCTACGACACGAGACGACACGGACAACACCTTGACTTCCGGATCCGGACGTTGCGTTGCCCGTTGCGGGTCGTCGGTCGCCGCACAAAGGATCCAGATAATGCGACAGGTCGGACGTGAAATCACTTTTCACTAAAACTGCAAATTTTAATGTTTATTTTGTCATATTTTAAAATTCAAGGGGTGCTCGTAGCAGAAAATTTCAAGAGGAAACCAATGGAACCACTTATAAGACCTCAAAGTTTTGTATAAACCGAGTAACAAGCTTTTGAAGTGTCCAAATTTTTTCCGAGCTCTCCCATTGAAAATATCCACTGTGCGTCGGATTTCCAGCTAGCGGTGCTTTGCAACGTGTGTGAATCTTTCTTTACCATCCGTCTCAATGCCTCCTAGCCGCATCTATAGCGAAAACCTCCTAGCGACAAATGAACGTCGTAAAATTTTCCAATTGAAAATATAATCTACTCCATTCTCTTTCTCCACATTGAAAAAACGAGATTAGGGCTGGGCCCTAGAATTGCTTCACCTCCACCGCCACAGGGGCAGGCCCTGCGCGGGTAAGGCCCAGCCCTACCTGGACAGGGTCTAGCTTTTACCAGGTAGGGCTGAACCCTGGAGCAGGTAGATTTGGGCTCTACGCGCGCCAAGCCTGCTCCTATGGCGGTGGAGGTGAAGCAATTTTACCTACCCGGTTAGGGCTGGGACCTTCGGCGCAGGTACCAGCCCTAAACTCGTTTTTTTCCGTGCATGTCTTCTTCCGTCGTGTCTCTTTCGTTTTCTTCTCTTTCTTCCCTCCTTTTGTCTACTTATGCTCCTGGTTTTTTCTTTCTTCCAATCCTTCTTAGAGCTTCCTTTTCTCTTTCTTATTCTTCTTCCTTTTCTTCCACTGACGCTTATTCTTCTGTCGTCTCCTACGTTATCACCTTAACACACTTCTGCTTTCTCTCCTTTTTCCATGACTTTTACTCCATGTCCTGCTTTGTATTTTTGTATTCTTGTTCTTACACGTCTGCCT